TGTTGAACATTATTACTTCTAAAGAATAATTATTGTTGGGACCCCTGGTGCGCGGCCCCCCCGCCGCGCCTAGGCCGCAGCCACGTTTTCATCATTTTCGTGAGGAAGTCTCAGGCAAAACGGGTTGGTCCGGATCCGGTTGTGTTGTTACGGCCCGCTTTCCCTTGCAAAAAATCAGCTAAAGTGGACATTTCTTGTTCTAACATAACCAAACTTCAAGAATCCCTTGCAAAAAAAAGGGAAAGTGGACATTCGCGCGCGCAAGGCGAAATCCTTCCAAAACCTTAGTTTTCGTAGCCATTTTTAACATAAAAACATCAAAAAAACAATGGTTTTTCAAACAAAAAATGTCAAATTTTCATCCCGCGCGCTCTTGCGGATTCGTAGGAAACCCAACACTTTTTAAACATTTCTGTCAAACGGGCTTTTGCGAGCAACTTTTTCGAACTTCTGCAACAACGGTTGCGCACCTGCCAGGGCCATCATCCCTGTCAAATAATACCATGCGGGACACATTCGTTTTTTCTTCGCGCGCGCACGCCGTCGTCGTCGGCCGCGGGGCCCTGAATAGTAGCCACGGTCGTCCGCATGCCACGAAGTGAAGTGTCCGAACGTCATAGGGCGGGAAGCTGGGTGTGGGTGGTGGCGAAGAGTCGTTTGGAAATTTGGTAGAGCTTGAACCGGCCCCCCCACAAAGTGGGGGTATTGCCCGCCTCCTATGAAAACCCTGGCACTGGTGAGAACGGTGTGTCCCCGCGTGCTAGTAATTGTTGTTGTTGTTGTTGTTGTTGTTGTTGTTGTTGTTGTTGTTGTTGTTGTTGTTGTTGTTGTTGTTGTTGTTGTTGTTGTTGTTTGTTGTCGTCGTCCCACCCGCGACCCACTCGAGACTCACCCCGCGACCCATCCCGCGACCCACCCCGCGACCCACCCTGCGACCCACCCCGCGACCCACCCGTGACCCAACCCGCGACCCACCCGCCACCCACTCCGCGACCCACCCGCGACCCACCCGCGACCCACCCGCGAACCACCCCGCGACCCACCCACGACCCACCCCGCGACCCATCAGCGACCCACCCGCGACCCACCCGCGACCCGCCCCGCGACCCACCCGCGACCCACCCGCGACCCACCTTCAGGGGAAGAGAAACCACCCAGACCTGACAATTTAACGTTTAGTAAACGGCCCTGCCCCGTTCGATTCATTCCCTGTGTGCGTTTACAAAACGGCTTCGCTTGTCGGGGTGATTGTTCTGGGGTGGATGTTCTGCCCTCTACACCCAAGACCCAACAGCGACCCGCGACCAACCCGCGACCCATTTCCGACCCACCGGCGACCCACCCACATTGGTTTAACGACAGATCGGCGCCTGCGGCGGGCGCTTTGTATAATTTGTGAAACTTAGGTGCCTCCGGCCAGCTCCTCCAGAGTCTCGCAAACTGCCGACGTCCCTACCGCCCCCTCACTCTTATCCACATCTGCGGGCTGACGGTCCTGAATCGTGCCGGAACACCATTTCTGCGACTTCAACACCGCGAGTCAACATAATTTTTTGCCTTGACACTCCTACATCGTTCCAAATCACCATTTATAGGACGGGGGCCTCCCTCTTCGGGCTTGATTCGGGCCTTTGGGGGCCCCTCCTTGATTTTTAAGGGGGCCTGCTTGACGGGTCGTTTAGGCGGCCTGGTGGGCCTTTTGGGGGCCTTCTGGTCTCGGAGGTCATCTTGGTGCGGAGGGCTCGAACTGTTAGTCGAGTTCCCCCTAGAACGGGGCTGTCGGTGAGGCCTCTTGGGCTGTCTCGGGGCCGTCTTGGAGCCCTCTTTGAGTCCCTGGTTGACGACGACGGCGGCGACGACGACGATGAACGACGAGAGCGGTTCCCGACGGCAACGACGACAACGACGACGAACGACGAAGAGGAGGAGGAATAGGAGGCGGAAGAGGAGGAAGTAGAGGATGAGGAGAGGGAGGATTAGGAGGAGGAGGAGGAGGATTAGGAGGAGGAGGAGGAGGAGGAGGAAGAGGAGGAGGAGGAGGAGGAGGAGGAGGGGGAGAGGCATGTGGCGGCGGAGGATGAGGTGGAGGAGGAGGAGGAGGAGGAGGAGTAGGAGGAGGAGTAGGAGGAGGAGGAGGAGGAGAAGGACGAGGCGGAGGAGGAGGAGAAGTGGAGAAATAGAAGGAGGTGAGCCCAGCCGGGGGCCACCCAGGGCCAGTCGCGGTGGTGCGGCTACCACTGGAGACTCTCGCCTGCAGAACGTCTCAGTTGGTCGATTCGATGCGATGTAGCTGGGCCATCATCTTCGCACGTTCGGCCCCAAGTTAGTGAGAGTTGTACGCGCATTGCTTCTAGTGCAAGCGAATGCTCTCCTGGGTACCACGTTCGCGGAAATGCGCGTCGTCGGTATCGATGCGCGTCGTCGGTTCCACAGAGGCAGAGCAAATTGGGGGGTATGACCATGTTATGTCGAAACGTACAGTGAGCACCCATGCAGAAATGAGCGCTGGAGAGTCATTGCAGAGCGTGCAAGCGGATGCTCGTATAATGGATAGCTCTTGTGGAACCGAATGAGCACGCTTGCGCGGATATGTATTTTGCCAGTCTGACTTTGACGGGTCTTGGGCATAGGCAGAACAAGTTGTGGGTGTGGGCAGTGTTTGCAATAGGGTCGCTGATGGGGGAGCACGGCTTGGAAAGGATCGGCGAATAGGATGCATGTAGAGCATTTGTGCATGTGCTTGTCGGGAACCCTGTGGATGAATGTTTGGAGTCTTTGTGGCCTCTGTGGAACCTCTATGGGACCCATCGGAGCTTCTTTTTGGTTTTTGGGGAGCTGCATGGAGCCTCTTGGGGGCCATGTTCGGAGGCCCAGAGCACCATATTGAGGGGAAGAGCTGCACATATCAGGCCGTGTTCCCTTCCAGGACCCTTCTCGCAGCTTTATCGGGGCCCTGCAGGGTCTTCAGGGGCACACTTGGAGGCTTCTTGGGCTGACCTGGGGCTCCCTCGAGCCGACTTTGGACCTTCCTGGGGGTCTCTTGGGGGCGTGTGGGAGCGATCTTAGGGGTCTCGAGGGCTGTCTTGAAACGGCGGGAAGCCGAAACGGAGGATACGCTAAACACTTATAACAACGGTCGGAAAAAACAATGCATCCTGCCCTTATTGGGGAGCCTCTTGGACGTCTCTTGGGACATCGTCGAGGCCCAGACCGTCTCGGAGGCGGGTTGGACCGGAGGGTTTCTCCGAAGGGCTTAGGCGACCCGTCCTCCTCCACCTTCTCCTCCTCCACCTCCTCCTCTTCCATCCTCCTCTTCCATCCTCCTCCTCATCCTCCTCCTCCTCCTCCTCCTCCTCCTCCTCCCCCTCCTCCTCCCCCTCCTACTCCACCTCCTCCTCCTCCTCCTCCTCCTCCTCCTCCTCCTCCTCCTCGTGTCGCCTACGGCCCCGAGGGCAACCGTGCAGTTGTGTCTCTGGAAACCCTCCGGGGGCTGTCTTGGATCCCCAAGAGAAGCCAAGGGAGCGCCTGAACCGATTCATGATGAGTTCGGCCCAGGGTCGGGGTAGGCGAATGGGCTGGCGGAGGGGGGGTCAAACGCGCAGTTTGGGGTCCCTAGGGGGTGGTGGTGGTGGTGGTGATGGTGGTGGTGGTGGTGGTGGGGGAATATAGTCGGGTGGAACATCTCACGCGCCTGAAGACCCACAAGTGGTCGGCGGATTCCAGGGTCCCAACCAGTTCAGACCCCCTGGCCGCCTCCAAAACGGCCGTTCTTCCATATGATCTGCAGTATACGTTACAATTGCCACGTCTTTCTGTACTGTATTACCTCCATCTCTTTCGCATCGCCCGTTTTCCTTCTTTGCACTCACGAGGGACATTTCTGCAAGAGACTCCAGCGAGGTTTTTGGACTCTGCGCAGGCACCAGTACTTTGACCCACCTGGCCGCCTCCGTCTCGCCCCGCTCTCTCTCTCTCTCTCTCTCTCTCTCTCCGTTGGTCTGATGCTGTACGGACAGACCGTGCATTTTCTGGTTCGGTGTGTTTTTGTTGGTCTCTGTCGTAGGCTGTTGCTCGTGCGTGAGCGTCGCCCAGTCTCGGTAGTGCAGGCGTTGATTCGTTCCCCTCCCCCTTCCCTCCCCTCTCTCCTCCTCCTCCCTTTTGGCATGTCGCCGTGGAGGGCATCATGCGTGACGTTTCCAGTTTGTCCAGTGGTGTTCCGACTCACGTCCCTGTGGCAATCGTGCAGTCTTGGTTGATGTTGCCTGGAATCCCACCCACCCTCGGGTCGGACGAAAAGGAGAGGATTGGGAAAGGGGGGAGTACGGTCGGACCGAGGTATCATATCGAGGTCGGTTCGGGGAGGGAACCCTGGTGTTCTTTGTGTTTGCTGGATGCTCCTGCGCATCCAGGGGGGGGGACCCTTGGATGTTCTGTTTGTTTTGGCTGGCGCGGGGTCTCGTACTCTTGAAGGATTCCGAGGCGGGAATTTATACATGACCACCGCCTGGAGGGTCAGTTTTCGGAGCCTCGCCAGGCGGTGGATATGGACGTGTTCGGGCCCCTGGGGGCCGAAGTATGTATCCATATCCACCGCCCGCTGGGGCACCAGGACGTCGGCTCCCAGGCGGTGGATACGGATATATCCCCGCTTCGCAGGGATGCTCTTCTGGCCCAGGTCTGGCTGTGCGAAGTCTGCTGCGTGCCGCTGGCTTCGGCTTCGCCGCTGGGCGCCTTTCTCCCTGCGTTCTCTCCGGCGCCCAGAAGCCGCCTGCGCGAGCTGCTTCGCAAAGCATTCCTTGGCCATTCCCCCCCCTCTCGTCTTAAGTCGGGCCTGTCCCTCTACAGGAGGGATGTTCAAAAATAGTTGAAAAATAGTCAGTGGACGATTTTTTGTAATCCATGGACTTGGCGACCGCGCGCCAAGTCCATGGATCGCTAATCCATGTTTGCGCGCCCCCGATATCTGCTCAAGGTGTCGAAAGCTTCGCAGCCGCTCACAGGTAGCCGGTGGGGCGGCCTCCAAGTTGGCGAAGATCAAGATCGTGCGCAAGTCCATCGCGCGGATCTTGACAGTTTACAACCAGAAGCAGAAGGCAGAGGTCCGGGGCTCCGAACTTGGAAAGCACAGGATAGAGGGAGGGAGAAGAAGAGAGGAAAGGAAGGGAGGCGGAAAGCTTGGTAGTGGCAGATAGCAAAGGATGCAGGGGACCTGGTACAGTCGGGCTCTAACGGTAGCGTTCACTTCTGGAGCTACCGGAATCGCTGGTCGCGGCGGATGATGAAGTCGGGCTTCGACTGTCTTGAGTCCACTGGCCGCCTCCAGCTGCTACTATTATTGCTGTTGGTGATATTGGTGGTGAACGTGTTCCTCCCCCGCCTTTTGCTCCCAGTCCTGATCGTTGTCCTGGTATTGGTCTTGGTCCCATTGTTTATTACGCTGCAGTAGTACGGACACTGCTGATGCCACTGCTACCGCTACAACTACATTGCCGCTGCTAATGCGACTGCGAATGATAATCCTAAGACTGAGTATACTGAGTATACTATTGCGACTGCTGCTGCTTCTCCTCGTCCCTTACCTCACGTTCCTGGCTCCTCACTACTCTTTGTGTTGGTTGTCTTGTTTTCTCTCTCTCTCTCTCTCTCCCTCTCGCGCTCTCTACTTGCCTCGGCTCCCCCACTGCCCTCCTCCTTCTGCTCCTCGTTATCCTCATCCCCCTCTTTGATCCCCAGCCCTTCCTCCCTCCTCTCTGCCCCCCCTCCCGCCTCAGGGCCTTCCGCCCGCCTCTCCCTTTCCTCCCCTCTTGTCCGCCCCTCCCTCCGTCGCGCCGTCTTCCTCGTCGCGTGCCTGCCGTCCGTCGTCCGCTGCTCCCTCCTGGCCACCGCGTCGGGCCCGCCGCTTTGCCATTGGTCCGCTGCTCGACGGTGGCGCGCTCCTCCAGCGTTATGATGTTCCAACCTATACTGTCGCCTGAATCACCAGACACAAAATGGAGCACCAGGAAAGTACCGACACCCGAGGGTTTTCGCGCGTCGGGTCTGCTTCGACACTTTCCCGGGTGCTCACATTTTTTGGGGGATGTGGCCCGTGAGTGCGATGGGAGCACATCACTCCAGCGAAGCTCTGTCGGCGTCTGCTCCCTCGGCCCGCAGCCTGAACTTGCAGGATCTGGAGGCATAGGGCCGTCGTCGACACGCTCTGGCGACGTCGCTGCCCTTTCCTGCTCTTCCTCCTCCTCCTCCTCCTCCTCCTCCTGCTCGCTCGCCCTGGTGTTCCCGATTGGGCTATTCTCGGGCCCCACTCCTGCGCTTGTGACTCCGCGGGTCGCGAGGCTGGGACATCCGCGCACGCCGATTCTGTCCTTCACCTTCTGTCCTGCTGTCCTTCTCCCTTCCTACTGCTCCTCCTGTCCTTCTCATGCTTGCATCCCCTGATCTTCCTTCCCCATCTCTCTCTCTCTCGCAGCGCTGCGGCCAGTCTGGCGAGCGGTTCGGGAAGGAGCCCGACCGCGCACGATGGCGGGCGCCGCGGGCCGCGGAGGGCCTACCCTGCGGGGGCCGCCCTCGCGCGGCAGCGCCCACGTCTGCACGCGGGAGGGGCCGACGGCCAGCTGTACGGCCAGCGGCGGCGGCGGCAAGCAGCAGCCGCAGCAGGCACTCGCTCGGCACTCGGACGGAAGAGGAGGATCGCAAGGACTCGAATCGATGTCGGAATCATCGTTGAGGACAGGAGAGGGAAAAGGAGACCCCCCCCGAGGCAGGGGGTGTGCCCTGGCACGGGGGTCGGCGGTGTGACCAGTCCAACGCCGACCCCGCCTCGAGCAGCTCTCGCCGTAGCGGAATACTACACCCTCCTCACGGAGGCAGCCTTCAGCTCTGGTGGGGGTAGGGGTCCAGCGGCCAGAAATAGGCCCAGTGGCCCGAAGGTGGGTGGGGCTCCCAGGACCACTTGTACTTTACACCCCAGAGCTGTACGAAAGAAATTGCGACTCCTGCTTCGGGCCTGGTCTGACAGACCTCGCCTACTCCTGGCAGGTTGGCTGCCAAGAGTGGGCAAGCCGTCCCTGCCCCGAACGCGCTCAGTGTGTCCCTGAGCTCCAGCATCTGGCTTGGCGCCAGATTCCGAAGCTCTATTACCTCGGGCATGCTGGAAAAGGCCGTCCTGATCTGAATCACCGTGGGGATCACCTGGGGCGCCGCGTGGGCCGCCAGCAGCACCCCAGCCCGCAGCGCGTCGTTCTCCTCGAGCTGCTTCCTGCGCTGCGTCTTCACGGTCGTCCAGCTGCCCCAGATGCTGTTCTTCCTAAGATCCTGGGTCTCGTGGCATTCTGGTGTCTCCACGATGACCGCTGCAATTCGTCCTTCACCAATCTGCGTGCGCCATTGCTGCAGGGCATCTAGCTTCAGCTCCACGAAGGCCAGGTCGATGCCGCTGCAGTCGTACTCGGTGTTCACCACCCTCGCCATCTCAAACTCCATCATGTCTGCGTAGTCCCCTTTCTTGCGCTTCACCGTCGTCGCAGACAGCACGGTCTTGGCTGAGTCGAGATTCGGCGTCGGGATGGTCCTCCCTCTCCACTCCTCCCTCATTGGCAGCTTCGGGATCTCAATGCTCTCGCTGCCCTGCTCTGAGTCCGCGCATCCGCCTGCAGTTCCTGGCTCATCTCCATCATCATGCCTGTCCTCTTGCTCGTGTTGATCCGCTGCGTCTTCGCCGTCATCGCTCTGCGTGTGGTCCTCCCTCTTTGGTTGCATCCATTCTTGTTTACCGCATGGAATAAGCGCTGTTTCTACTCTGTGTCCTTTTTGCTTCAGAATTGCAGTGTTGTCTATATCGTGTTGGTATAATGTCCATGCCTCGTCATGTTCCATCGGTTGCTCATTTTTCGTATGCCATTTGAGACTTTGTCGGCAACGATGTCGCAGATGTATGATGAGTCTCGGTCGTGTCTGAAAATCTTGTCCACATGAAATGCATCAAGATCCTTTTGCATACAATTGCGCTGTGTCGATTGGCATATGCTTCTCCCTGTGTCTCTTCCATGCTCCTCTGTCCGCCGTTGAAAATCCGCATTCGTAACAAATATATTGTGCGTCCTGTTCCTTTTGCCTCCTTGGTATTGCTGCCGTTTGTTTCTGTATTTTGTCCAGTTCTCTTTTCCATCTATCATTCATCGCACCGTCGATATTGCTGTCCATTTGTCTTTGCCATGCTTGCCTGCATCGTCTATCATATTCCTTCCATCATACCGTATCATAAATATCCATTGTTTTTTACCGTTGGTAGGCTCCAAGTCTTTGTCGGTAAGATCCGATAACCATTGGAGATCGCCGTCAATCATGTCTGACCATGTCTCAGTCCTCTGAATAGTGTCTAACTCGTCCAATGCCCTTCGTAATATCGGTGGTCCGCTTTCCACTATCGCCTTCAGGAACCGTAATCTTCTGTACCGTAGAAGCGTTGGCAGGTCCCCAATCTTTGCCTTGGCGTACAGCTCCTTGTCCGTCGTCGGCTCCAGTGTTCTTGCCTCCGTCGGCTTCGTTATAAGTCCCAGTGCCTGTCGAATACCCTTGCCATACGCCGTCTCCACGATCTTATGAGCTGTCTTCGGCATCGACGGCCAGGTCTCGCTCTGCCAGAGCAGCTTGCTGTTGGCGTAGCTCTTAGTGTACTTTAGCTTGTCTTTGTCCGCCAGCCGTGGGTTTTTGCATATCGTCGCCAGGTTCCTCGTCTCCTGCTTGTGGCTGGTGGCTCTCTTCTGCATCTCTGGTCTCCACGTGTTGTCTGCCATTTGCTGTACACCAAGATGTGCGTATGCTGCCACCACCGTAACGTTTTGCCCAATTTCATCGATATTGACCTGGACCCCCTCCTCTTTTTTGAAACGCTTCTTCGCCTCAGAAATATGTGGCCCCGCCAGGTGCAGCGTGGCGGCTGTCTTGCCTGGGTTGTAGTTCGGTTCGAAGCCGTACTTCAGCATCGTGACGTGCACCGGTGTGAATACTGCCTTGATGTGCTGCTCGATCCTCCTGTTGTCCTCCACCACAGTTGGAATTGCCGTGCCGTCAACATATGTGGCGTCCGATATTTCCGCCGCTTTGTCTGCTTCCACGGTGTATATGTGCTCGACCTGTTCCCCAACCGTGTGCAGTACACCGAGCGTCCTCAAGTGGTCGTTGATCTCATCCAAGGGTCTTTTGTAAATGATGCTGAAGAAAAGTCCGCCGTGGAGTTTCCTGGTCGCCCTCCTCTCTTTGCCACTGCTGCGAAATCCGTCGTGGGCGGGTGGTACCACGTTACTCTCGCCGACTCCGATAACATAGCCCACAGCGGTGCTGGTGTGTCCGCTCCCGCCATTACTGGGGGCGCTTGCAATGCTAGTTGAAGTAGCGGCCTGAACTGCTCTGGGATCGTGCTGCGCTGAAATATATCCTCAATGTCCTCAGCCGAGTGGTCCATGGGTACTCCCATTGATCTGATTACTTTGTAAAAGGCATTTTTCAAATCCACATATATCATGAGGATCCACTTTCCTTTTCGTCCGATCAGTAGCGTCGTCGTCCTGATCAAGTGGCCTGCCATTGGTGCTCCCATTCCTTTCCGCCCACCCACTTGTGTGTCTCGGATGATATGGCTGATAATTTGTCCCAGTGCCGACCGTAACCACTTGTGATAGTGCTTGCCCACCACGTTGTTGAGGCTGATGTTGCGGTAGTATTGCCACTGCATCTTCGACTCGCTCGTTTTCGGTATCCCACACAATGTGGCCTCCTTGAATGCCAGAGGTTCCTGCAGGTACAGTGCCGTCTTGAGGTATACAGGGTACCACCATCTAGCCGAAGATTTCTCAGTAGCTTTCAGGACATCGTCTAATATACCGTCAGGTCCTCCTTTACGTCGTCGCTTTGCCATCGTATAACTCCGCTGCATCTCGTAGTATGTCGGCACGGTGCTAATGTCCTGAAAGAAGATCGCCGCGTAGTCGTTTCTTCTTCTGTTGTAGATCTGCTCGACTTCTCGCTTTGTCATGATGTCGGCGTCCTCCACCATAGCGAAGTGCCGCAGCATCGCCTCGTCCGCCTCCTCCTGTGTCTTTGCAGGTTCACCGTAAATATTTTCACGAACTGGCAGCCGACCTCCTCCAGCGAAGTTCTTGTTCTTTTTGTCCACTCATGTTTAATACAATATCCACTTTGTTCCATTATCGTTCATGCTGATGCTGTTGTATGTGGTCCGCAATCTCGGCTGCCGTGTCGCCCAGTAGTTTAGCTTTGTCTTCCTTCAGCGCCCTTCGTATGTGTATCTTGGTTGTCTTCAGAAGCTGCTCGGCCCTCCATGCCATCCTAGCCAGTTCGATAACCCCCGCGTTGTATGTGTCCAGCGCGAGCTGCAACATGTTGGCGGCCAGCCTCCATTCTGCATCTTCCTTCCCCTCCCTGCCCTTCTCCTCCGCCTCCCCCTCCTCACACTCTCCTTGGCCTTCTCATCCGCCTCCTCCTTCTCCTCTCGTTCTCCTCCTTTCATCTCCGTATCCCTCCCCCTTCCTGCCCTCATCCTTCTCTCCCTCACCCTCCCTTTGCCCTTCTCGTCCGCCTCCTCCTTCTCTCCTCCTTCTCCTCCTCTCCTTCTCCTCCTCCCTTCCCAGACACCCCGCCCTTCAAGCTTCTCGAGGCATGGACCCCCCGAGGCCTGGACGAGTTCCCTGGGGCCAGAATTCTTGCTCCCGCGCCGTTGCTGGACGGCCCCGGAGCCCGCGGGGGGCCCCCGGAGGCCCGTGGGGGCCCCCCCGGAGGCCACGATGCATCGGATCCCCGGGCCCTCCCTTCTCCCGCTCGCCTCCTCGCCCTCTCCCGCCGCCGCTCCCCGCCTCTCCGCCCCGCCGCCCCCCAGCCCCCCCGCGTCGTGTCGTCGTCGTCGAGCTCGGGCTTTGAGCTCGTCGTCGTCGCCGTCGTGGTCGGACTCGTCGTCGCCCCCGCCCCCCGAGCCCCCCCCGTCGAGCTCGACCTCGACCTCGACCTCGACCCCCTCCGACCTCGTCGACCTCCACCTCGACCTCCACCTCCACCCCCACCTCGACCTCGACCCCGCCGACCTCGACCTCGACCGCGACCTCGTCGAGCCCGACCTCGACCTCCACCTCCGCCTCGACCTTGACCTCGTCGTCGAGCTCGACCTCGACGAGCTCGCCGCCGCCGCCGCCGTCGCCGAGCTCGCCCTCGAGCCCCTCGTCCCCTCCCCTCGGGCCTCGGCACGGCGGGCCGAGCGCGCGGCCGCGGGCCCGCTCCCGCCTCCCGGCCCCTCCGCCGCCGCCCCCACCGCTCTGCCCCGCGCTCTCGCGGCCCCCCCGGCTGCCCGTGGTCGCCGCCGCCGTCGTCGCCGTCGCCGCCGTCGCCCTCGCCGCCGACGTCGTCGCCGTCGTCGTCGTCGCCGCCGCCGTCGTCGTCGTCGTTGTCGCCGTCGTCGTGATCGTGGCTGTGGTCGTCGTTTTGGTCGCGGTCGTCGCCGTCGTGGTCGTCGCCGTTGTCTTCCGTCGTCGTCATCGTCCTGGTCGTCGTCGCGGTCGTCGTCCTCAGTGTCGTCGGCGCCCCTCCCCGAAAGGCGCGGAAGGAGTGCAAGGGCAAGAAGTACATCCCCCTGGACCTGCGGCCGAAGAAAACGCGCGCCCTCCGCCGCGCGCTGAAGGTCGAGCAGAAGACCGCCAAGACTGCCAAGGAAAAGACTCGCAGCAGCAACTTCCCCATGCGCCGCTTCGTGGTGACCATGTGAGCAAGAATCTAGGCCTCCCCGATGGTGTCGAAGTAGATGTGGTCGGAGGATGGCGCCTTATCGCCGATGCATCGGCGATGTGGAGCCCCATGTTCTCCACGCCGATGGCGCCGATGCATCGCCGACGTCGCCAGTGCATCGCCGACTCATCGCCGATGCATCGCCGATGCACCGATGCATCGCCAATGCGGCGCGATCCTCCGAGTCCGTGTGCTCCGATCCCATCTGGGAGGTCTCTGCACAAGTCGGGCCTCCCCAGTCAAGGTCCGTGCGGATCGGGTCAAGAGGGTCGTGCCGCATCGCCGATGCCGGGGCGGTGCGGCTCGACGTGGAGCCCGATGTTTTCCACGCCGACGCCGCCAGTGCGTTGGCGATGCATCGCCGATGCATCGGCGATGCGGCTCGGTCCTTCTACCCCAGCTGCGCGGGCACTGTCTGGGAGGCCTCTAGACAAGGCCGCGTCGGCTGCCTGCAGCGGGGAGGGAGTGGCGCCGCGGCGCGCCAGGCCGGCAGAGAAAAGCCCTCTGACCCCCCCCCCCTCTCCCTGCCTTCTTCCCCCCCCCTTCTCTCCTGTCTCCTCGCACGCTTCCCCCCCCCCCCATCTTCCCTCCTCCCTCCTTCCCCACGGGCGGCCCGAGAGTAAGAGCAGGCCAGGCAGGCGTGGATCGACTACCTCGCCTAAGCCCCGCCTGCTTCTCTCTCTCTCTCTCTCACTCTTTTTTTCCACCTGTGTGTGTGTGTGCTCGGTGTGCGTGCAGGTATCCACTATCTGACGAGAACGGTGTGTGCCCCATCCGACGTTGAGCGAGCGAGCCTCCCCTCGTCAGTCCCCCCCCCTCCTTGCCTCCTCCCTCCCCCTCTTCCCCCGTCGCCCCCGTCGGGCCTCCCCCCCCCCCCTCCGTCTTCCCTCCTCCCTCCTCCGCTGGTGCCGGTCCCCCGTATTTCCTCTTGTTGTGTTGTTCCCACTGTACTTAGGGACCACATCCCAGAAGTAGCTTCGAGCCCCCAGGAAAGTATCGAAACAGTGTCGAACGAGTATCGCCTCCCAGGGCACGACACGTGAAAGCCCTCCAGTTTCGGTGCGGTCTTGGTGCTCGAAATTCGTTTTGGTGATCAAGGCTAAAGTAGGTGGAACACCATAACCCTATTGCCCCCTCCCTCCTACGGAGGAGGCGTCCGTTAAGGGTATGTGCCCAGGAGGCTTCAGACCCTGAGGGGTTCCTCATCTGATGAGGGCGGCGGTGAAGTCCATGGCCAATCCACGAGTGGGTGGAGTTCCACTGGCTTCAACACCCTGGGCTCCCTCTCCCATGGTTCCTTATCCAGCGCCCTCACCGCCCTCCCCTGAGATCCGACGTCGGGGCAAACATCAGCACAGTGTTTTTTTTTTTGGTTCGCGCCGCGTCGATCTGCGAGGGCCCCCGGGCCCGACATCTGGGCCGAGAGGCGCTGCTCGAGAACATCGAGGCGCTGGGACCTCGGGGTCCGAAGTGCACCTCCTGCCCCCGCTCTCCAGCCCACTCCTCTCGGGGGAGCGCAAGACCCGGGTTTGCCAGGACTCGGGTTCGCCATCGTTTTTTGACGACCGCGCCTCGGGTTTTTGACGAGGAGGAGTTTCGTGGGATGTCTGCAGCGGGAGGCCTCGTCAAAAGGCAGGCTCGGCCTCGTCATTTTTGTTGACGACCTCGTCGGGTATTTCCGAGTCCCCCTGTGCCCAGGTCTTACGTCCCCCTGATCCTCTCGGGGACCCCACCGCTCCCGCGCCCCGGGCTCCGCTCGCGCCCCCGGTTGCCGGCCCGCACGCACGGGGCACTGCAGCACCCCCGAGTCCTCTCGAGGAGTGCCGTGCGCGTCGGGCCGCTCGGCGCTGGCCAGAGGGCGGCTGTGTCGTCGTCGTCGTCGTCGTCGTCGTCGTCGTCGTCGTCGTCGTCGTCGTCGTCGTCGTCGTCGTCGTCGTCAACGTGAACGCCAGCCGCCAACGTCAACGTCACCGTCAACTTTGTCGTCATCATCGTCGTCGTCGTCGACTTCGAGGGGCCGACAGCGGCGAGGGCGGCGGCGGAGGAAGCGCCGGGGTGGCCGCCTCTGGCGGCGCCCCCGAAGCGCTCGGTGTCCCCCCGCATCGGGGCGTTGAGACCGCCCTGGCCCTGGGCTGCTCGGGCAGCCAACGGAGGCTGCTCGGCGGGCCGGCCTGGAAGCAAAAGCTGCGCAGACATGAAGCGTCAACGGTCCGCGCGCATTTCCTGGATCGGCGCCTGGAGGAGGAAGAGGAGGAGGAGGAAGAGGAGGTGGAGGAGGAGGAGGAGGAGGAGGAGGAGGGCGAGGAGGAGGAGGAGGAGGAGGAGAAGGGGGAGGGGAGGAGGGGGAGGAGGAGGAGGAGGAGGAGGAGGAGGAGGAGGAGGAGGAGGAGGAGGAGGAGGAGGAGGAGGAGCCCCCCCCCGCCGCATCCTTCCGATCCGGGTGCACCGTGCGGCAGGCTCGCGCCGTGCCGCCGCGGCGGCGACCCTAGTGGCGCGGGCGAGGCCGACGTCGAGGGATGTGCGCTGTCCATCGGAGACCTGCGCGATCGCTCCAGGTTTCGGGCGATCGCAATCCTGGACTACGGTCAACCATGCTGGGAACCTGGCATCGCTCGGACGTGTGCATTTTTTCTCGGCGAGGGCCATCGAGGAGCATCCTTGGTCATTTGGCGAAAGAACCACGCACGGAACCGAAAAAAACACAGGGGATGGACGTCCGAGCGATGCCCAAGGAAGGCTACCCTTGCATCCTTGTCCCTTCGGTGTTCGGCATCCTTCGGCATTCTGCTGCGCTCCGCACGGCAAGCGTCAACATGGCGTTCCAAGGCCCTTGCATCCTTACCGCGCATCCTTACAATCCTGGTCGAGTGCAAGGGGACGTGGATCAGCGACGGGTCCCGTTTCCATTGGAAATCGCGGATTTCCGCCGCCGAGCGAGGCGGCACCGGCCGCATTTTGGGGAGAGCGCCTCCCCCTATCCATGTTTGCGCGCTCCCGATGAACGATCCACGCGGTGGCAGAAACCAACGCGCAAATCGTCACGACACGAACCAGCCGTAGATGCCTTGCGTGGCCGCATGCCGTTGCCTGCTCCAGGATGGACACGTGGGGGGGGGGCCAGATCTGGATTTTTGCCCTGGCCGGGAACGATGGCCGTTCTTCGTTTCTTCGGCGCGTGGCGTTGCTGCGGCGAGGAGACGCAGTTCCCCACCTACGGCTCCGGGAAGCCGTCGGGTAACGTGCTCCCGTTCCTCAGGCGCCCAAGGGTCCGAGCGCTACCGCTGCAGGGCAAAACTGTGTAGTACGTCTTTCAAGGGGCGAGGGGAGAGAGGGCGGAGGATGGATACCATACCATAGCGCTGCGATGTACGTTCGAGCCCGAGTCGTCATGGGACAGGAGCTCGTCCGACGGATTGTTGGCGGTGTGAAGCCAATATTGAGGAGGATGAGGGTGGGGGAATGAGGATTGCGTTCGTTGTCATTATTATCACGATCGTGGCCATGGCGCTGACGACGACGATGCTGCTGCTTACGATGATGATGATGATGATGATGATGATGATGATGATGATGATGATGATGATGATGATGTGATGATGCTGATGCTGCTGCTGCTGCTGCTGATGATGATGATGATGATGATGAGAATGATGATGATGATGATAATGATGATGATGTGATGATGCTGATGCTGCTGATGATGATGATGATGACCGTGATGGTTCGAATGATGTTGCGTATGACGAGGATGGGGATAAGGATTGTGATGATACTGGCATTGACGATGGTGGTGATGACGATGATGCTGACAAAGAGTATGCGAATGGTGATAGTGATGTTGATGAATTGGATGAGTGTGATGATGGTGTTGGTGATGATGACGGTGACGATGGTAATACTGCTGATGATGACGTTGTTGATGATAGTGATGATGATGCTCTTGCTGCTGGTGATGACGACGGTGATGATGATCATGCTGAAGTTGCTGATGATAGTGCTGATGCTGCTGATGATGATCATTATGTGGATGATGATGCCGATTATGATGATGGTGATCATGCTGATGATGATGATGATGATGATGATGATGATGATGATGATGATGATGATAAGAATGATGATGACGATGCTGAGGCTGATGCTCGTGATGATGATGCTGCTGATGATGATGATTACCGTGATGGTGATAATGATGCTGTGCATGACGAGGATGGGGAGAAGGATTGTGATGATACTGGCATTGACGATGGTGGTGATGACGATGATGTTGGCAAAGAGTATGCGAAATGTGATGGTGATGTTGATGAAGTGGATGAGTATGATGATGGTGTTGGTGATGATGACGATGACGATGATGATGCTGCTGCTGATGATGGTATGGATGATGATGGTGATGCTGATGATGCTATTGCTGCTGGTGATGGTGACGATGGTGATGCTGGTGATGATAATGATGATGCTGCTGATGATGATGCTGATGCTGCTGATGCTGATCATTATGAAGATGGTGATGCTGATGATGATGATGATGATGGTTTGGATGATGATGGTATTGATGATGCTGTTGCTGCTGGTGATGGTGACGATGCTGATGCTGGTGATGATGATAATGCTGATGCTGCTGATGATGATGCTGATGCTGCTGATGCTGATCATTATGACGATGATGATGCTGATGATGATAATGGTCATGATGCTGATGATGATGGTGTTGATACTGCTGGTGCTGATGAGGGTGAGGATGAGGATGAGGATGATGATGGTGATGGTGCTGATGCTGATGCTGATACTGATGCTGCTGATGAGGATGGTTACGCTGATCATCGTGATGATGACTATGATGATTATGATGATGAGGATGGTGGTAGTGGTGATGATGATGATGATCATGATGATCGGTACCGTGCTACACGTAACGTCTCGAAGCTCTGGATGGAGGCATGGTGAAAGATACACCCCACTGCACCGCCACACTCCCGC